TTCACTCTCTTTCTTCAAAATAAAGAAAAAATTCTCTCTCTCTCTCTCTCTCTCTATCCTAAAATATTTTGTTATAAAACTATTTAGTAATAAAGATGTTGAAAAGTATTCTTATTTTTATATTAAAAAGTATTCTGAATTTTTTTCTCATTTTTTGAAAACTTAAAACAATAAAAAAAGACAGATTTTAGACGAAAGGAATAAAATGTGATCACAGACAGAAAGTTATTAAATCTACTTTAATCGCGAAAACAGCTGTTAAAAAATGATAAAAATTATAAACTCACGACAATTAGCGGTTCGTTGCAACTCGCCACAAAGAAAATGCCGCAGCTGGAGAGATTTAACGTGACTCACAAAAACGTTCAATGGTTTCGCGACATCCTATTCGGTATGCTTTAGTAACAAAGCTAATTCTTATCCGAAAGATAGTTCGATCGATCACTGCAGGAATATCAATTAGAATTGTATCACATATACAGAGTGTTCTAGAAAAAAATCACCTGTCGTGAGTAGATAGAATTATATCGAATACCACTTTCTTTTCGTTACGTGAATCTATTTTTTAAACATTATATTAAAAATTGTTTAGTGTCGTTTGCAAAAACTCGAAGTGCATCTTACTAGCGGAAACAAGGCGATATCAATATGTAATTGCCCGTTTCTGAACTGTGAGTAACTAGACTGCATCTGATCAGCGAAAGCGATTTCTCATTCGCACGTCTTTATTTTTATTTTTTTTTTTAAATCCAGAACGCTTTCTCTTATCATAAAATTTAAGAATAATAAACTAAATATAATAATTAGATGGCAATTTAAAAAAAAGACTTATAATCTAGAAAAAAACACTCTGTGAATTAAGTACAGGCATGCAAGCGATCCTGACTTACTTTTCCCATCGATACAAAGCTGGCTTAATGGCATTTTTGTTGTTTGCACAATCGCGTCTTCGCATTATTCGACGTATGTAATGTACGTAGGTCGCTATCGGCTAGCTTTCATCGGTGACGTAAGTTCCGGTATTTACTTGTTTTCAGGAAGGAAAGACTCTCACCTCTTCAAGTGTAAATCGTTTCGAAACAACTTGAATGAACGAAATGATCCATGAGACATCTTAGGATTTGTGAATTTTACAAGTGATCGGATTCTTGCAGAAATCATATAAAATAAAATGAGTAAAACGTCATCTTTTATCTTGTGTTCTCTCTCTCTCTCTCTCTTTCTCTCTGTCTTTCTTCGTTTATAATTCCTATACCATTTAAATACATATGTTTTGCTTATACAATTTTTCTCGTAAATTTATTTTTTATGACATCAGATATAATAGTTGATATTAATTTCTATCGCGCTTGAACTAATGAAAGCGAAAGAGACGTTTAAATAAAATTGAGTGAAAAACACATTCGATAATTAACGGAGGCTTTTGCAACAAGCGTAATTAAATGTATCTCGATAAACCTAGTTCTCAGAGTAATATTCTGGAAAGTGATGCGTGGGTATAAAGAGAGAAAAGATCTCAAGAAAACCGCCGCGCGTGCAATACCGCAGCAAAAGTAACAATGTTCCTTGTAAAGTGAGCATAAACTTATGAAAATAAATTTTAAGTCGCGTAAGATTTACATCTGATGCCTATTAGACACTTCAGCGCACTGAAAACCAACCAAACAACTTCTTATTAGAACAATATTTTTTACCGCAGATAATAAATCAGTAACATATTGCGTGTTAAAAGAGACACAAGTATAGTTAACATTCAAACTTTTTATTGGTAAAGGTAAAACTAGTGACCCCCCCCCTCTCCCAAATTATGGAAACATTGCATAATAATGACGCCATAAATTAAAATTACAAATTATATGCAAAATTTTATCATATGATTATTAACGTTTTCCTATCGAGGCTAATAGTTTACAATATCTCATCAGAAGCTATTTGAAGAAATATTTAAATAAGAATTTACTCAGTCGACAAGATAAATAATAATCATATATACATACATTATTATTAAAATGCTCTAGATGCTTAAGATTTTTCATAATTACCATAATTTATGACATTGTATTTAAATAATCACAACATTTAATCCTACATAATTAGCAAAAAATGCTATTAAATAAACATTTAAAGGTAAGTAAAGAAGACTGAAATATCTACAAATCGATAAGAATTTTAATCACTATGACAAAAAAAGTAAGTAAAAAACAAAGAACTTCGTTACCTTTTTTATACACAATAAGTGTAATAATGTATAATACACACACATCTAATACTGTGCCATTTCCAATAATACTGCTCTTGAGATAAATGTTCATTAACAAAAATATTATTTTAGTGTTAATCGATATTATTTATTACACTTCTTTTAATTACTTTTATAAAAAAACTCTTGCAAATGAAACCAAGGTATCCTCTTGCCTACTTTATCGAAATATTATTATTTATATTAATTATATATTTATATTAACAGAACACATCAAGGACGTCCTTCGCAAATGATGTGGTATGAATAAAAAATTATTTGATTTCGTAATTGAAAAAAATCTTGTATGAAACTCAAATAAAAACTATAAAACGAAAATTATAAATGTCTTTTTTGCGTATTTATTTCCAGTTAAATATCTTTTTACATTTACACCCAAGAAAATTAAAACATATTCTCTAATATAAATAACTCTTTAAATAATTTTTTAATTTAATTGCCACTAAAGATAAAAAAATGAAAATGTAACAAAAAACGCATACATACAGTGTAGCGATTAAAATTTTTTGTTAAAAATAAAGCATTTACTTATATTATACATTACTAAAGAGTAGCCTAATAATATATAGATTAATTTTTCATAAATTTTTTCTAACTCGTTATGTTCCCGTAAAATTAGTCTTTTGGGCTTTGGATTTAAAAATTACATTATCGTCTCGCTGGCGTATGCAAACACGAACTTCAGTTTTCACTGGCGAAAGGAATAGAGAAAGCCGACGCTTTGACTTCTCGTGCTTGATAGGATGACACGGTAATTAGATGAACTAAGATTTCCTCCGACGGACATCTATCGCACGTATCGTTCCGTTATCTCGACGTACAAGTTGTCAGATCATGCGAAAAAAAAATAAAAGAAAGATTGCCATAAATATTTCTTTATCATTTTGCTATCGATTGGACGGTTAGGAAATTTTTTTATTTCTTATGCAGGTGTCTAAAGTGTAGATCCCAGCTGTTCAAAAATCTCTGAGAAATGTATTATGACATGGCCAACCTTTCTTCTTGATTTTCTTGGCGATGAAAACTTATATGCGTGTAAGCACAGAATAAGTGTGTGGATTAATGAAATGGAACGACTTGGTGGAGGTCGACCGGTATCTTGTGTATGCGTTGCCAGTTCCCTTCCACAGATCAGCTAGTGCGAATTAACGTGTTTGTTCCATTATGTATTTCTTGGGTTGTTAATCCTGTTCTAAAAGATGAATAAAAAATTAATTTATACTGCGATCAGTTTTGAAAGGACAAATATGAACTTGACATTTCATCAATGTCAAATTCATCAATGAAAGCTGTTTCTCAAGAATATTTTCTTACTACAAGTGACATATGTATTAGGTGTATAATATTAATTCTAGGCCTTTTTTGATCTCCTCGGCTGTTTTAGGCGATTGGAAGTGTCTTGCTGAGTTACTTCAAGCGTATTTGCAAGTTCTAATTGCGTTTGGCAAGAATTCTTTTTACTTTCCGCGTCTTCCACTTTTTTTGGTTGACCAGGGCGTTCACGATCCTCAAGGTCGAAATTTCCCTCTTGAAACCGTTTGAACCATCTTTTACACGTACTGTACGATACAGCATTCTCTCCGAAAGCTGAACAAATCATTTTTTTTGCCTCAGCCGGGTTTTTTTTAAGATGAAACGCGAAAAGAAGGACGTGCCTCACATGTTGCTTTTCGGACGACATCGTGTTTACTGGTGTTTACTGTTGATTTTTCAGGTTATGTTCACTGGAAGATCAAAGTATTATACCTCATTTTAAAGCTAAAAGATGGCACTTTAAAATGACTACAGAAGGGGGAGGGGAAGAGAGGTTTTGAGAACGCTGAAAGGTAGGTAGATGAAACGCGAAAAGAAGGACGTGCCTCACATGTTGCTTTTCGGACGACATCGTGTTTACTGTTGATTTTTCAGGTTATGTTCACTGGAAGATCAAAGTATTATACCTCATTTTGAAGCTAAAAGATGGCACTTTAAAATGACTACAGAAGGGGGAGGGGGAGAGAGGTTTTGAGAACGCTGAAAGGTAGGAGCCGGGAATTAATTTATACATCTAATACAAAATAGAAAAATATTTAAATATTAAAATATATTTTAGATGTTATATGTAAGCTTATTATACATATTTAAAAAGCATATATATTATATTTAGAAAAAAATGTATTTTTAAAATTATCTTTTTGTTCAATGTAACATCAAAAAAGATTGAAAATGATTTAAATAATGTTCGAAAGGTTTCTTCTCAATCCCAGTTTCTTGTTTCGGAGTTAATGCGATTTGGAATTTAGGTCAGCCACTCATTTCTTTATTGCGATCGACTCCGCCGTAATAGTTGGTATCCAGATGTAACCGTGTTCAGAGATAATTAATGCTATTTCGTATTGAAAGAAGAGATTTGCGAAACGACATCTCCGTTCTTGTGCGCAACGAAGATGTCTTGTAATTCTCCTCCGTGGCTCGTCATATCGCATTTTGCATTATGGTTTGCGTGCGGAAGAATTGCGAATTTTTCATAGAGACTCGGAGAACGCTCGCATACTGCGACATAACGCCATACGGAAAGTTATTACAATGTTTTAATTACACGAAAAAAACTTGAGATAAAAGAAACTCAGTTTTGTGTATTCTTATCTGTGCATGAATTGACGCGATCTTTAGGGATTAAGTAGCTGACGTTGTAGGTGTAACATTAGGATTCGTTTACGTTCAACATTCGTGAATGCATCATTCGATATAAATAATTATATTCGTTACATATCCTTTTATTATATGCGACAAGATATATATGTATATACAATATTTATTCATACTCATCGCACAGTCATATTACACACGCAATATTACACGCGTATAACATGTAAATATATCGACTTCGTAAATACCTAAATATATATAACATATGTAAATCCCTATTGTAACATATACAAAGAGGCTTTTACACAACTTATTTTAATTTAAATTTCTACGCTATACAAATTATCAATTGTTAAGAAATTATCTATCAATCTCGCCGAATACGACATCCAACGTTCCAATGATAGCGACTATGTCAGCGAGGAAGTGCTTGGGCCCCATGTGCTGTAGACTCGCTAAATGAGCAAAGCCTGGTGCTTTGATCTTGCACCGATACGGTTTGCTGCTGCCATCGCTAACGAGGTAAACGCCGAACTCGCCTTTCGGTGCCTCGATAGCAGTGTACGTAGCTCCCGGTGGCACTTGGAAACCTTGGGTGAACAACTTAAAGTGATGGATAAGCGCCTCCATGCTACTCTTCATCTCTTCCCGTCGCGGTGGCACAATCTTGGCGTCATCGCATCGTACTTCTCCCTCTGGCATTTGATTCAAGCACTGGTGGATGATACGCAGCGACTGTCGCATCTCCTCCATACGGCATAGATATCTGAAAGAGACATCGCGTCAAATATGTTATAAATAATTTTAAGTGCTCTTTTGTGTACTATTATTGATATAGAATAAATTAAGTATAATTGTCCCCATAAAGATAATTAAATATTATTTTTTGCAAAGAATAAAAATAAAAAAATTTAAGGTATAATAAAATCCTTTTAAAAGCGCGAAGGTAGATAACAGTACAATTAAAAGGTACATAAAATTTCAAACTGAAAGATTTTTCCAGTACACATTATATATTCAGTTTAAATATTAAATTATTATTTTCTTTTGATCTTTAATTTTGATTACCTGTTTAAAGCTTGTTATCTTTTTTCTAATTCTTAAAATTAAAAAAAATAAAAAGTAAGTCAAACTGAATTAAAGTTATAAATTAATCTAAATCGGTAGAAACAGATATTAGTAATCTATTATTTTCCTACATTTAAATACCTTTTTTTTAAATATATAATTCTTATCTAGACTTACCTGTCAAAGCAATCGCCCTTTGTGCCAATCGGGACATCAAAATCTACTAAGTGATAAGCGTCGTAAGGTGCAACTTTCCTCAGATCCCATTTTACTCCAGAGCCTCGTAACATCACGCCACTAAAGCCCCAATTTAGTGCGTTCTCTACAGTCACAGTACCGATATTGGTTGTGCGCTGCCGCCAGATTCTGTTGTCTGTTAATAGATCTTCCACCTCGTCCAGTCGTGCAGAGTACTTAGAGGCCCAGTCATATATGTCATCCATCAGACCCAACGGTAGGTCCAGGGAGACACCGCCGGGTCGTACATAAGCTGCATGCATACGGGCGCCGCTCACGCGCTCATAAAACTCCATCATCTTCTCTCGTTCCTCAAACAGCCAGAAGAAGGGCGTCATAGCACCGATATCCAATGCGTGCGTTCCAATGCCCATAATGTGGTTCAGAATTCTTGTAATTTCTCCAAAAAGAACTGTAGGAAGAAAATTCTATCAGAGAGCTTTGAATCACAGGTTCATTAAAACATAAATCACTCGAAAAGCCTTGACTTACATATTCATAAAAAGACAATGTAAACATATACCAAGTAAACGTTAATTTATAACATATCGAGTGAATATTGATCTTTGCAAATCCTACATAAAAAGATTCGGATGAAGAAATTGGACTTAATTTTCTATAGCTAACTTAGTATATACTTTTATAATTTAAAGTGAAATAGATGTGTCACTCTTGGTGATAGTGAGAAAGAGTTCTAGAAGAGGAATAAAAAAAAAGATCTCACACTATATTTCAATAAAACAAGAGCACGTATTGTTGCTTTTACCTCGAATATATTTTGCACGCAGAGGTACATCTATGTTCAGCAGTTTCTCAATCGCCAAGGAGAAGCACTGCTCGTTACACATCATAGAGACATAGTCCAAGCGGTCGAAGTAAGGTAACGCCTGCATATAGGTCTTGTATTCGATCAATTTCTCTGTGCCGCGATGCAGAAGACCGATATGCGGATCGGCGTTGAGCACGATTTCGCCATCTAGCTCCAGGATCAACCGGAGAACACCATGAGCGGCCGGGTGCTGTGGGCCAAAGTTAACCTTCACGTTTTGTATAGTTTGTTTCGCCACGGGAGGATGAACAGTCAGCATGGACACTGTGTCCGGCGGTATCCAGTCGATCTTCTCCGTGGAGTACAGAACTGGCTTTTCGAACTGCTTGAGGTACTCCGCGTCCGGATTCCATTGATGGGCATTACGATGCTGGCTGCAAAATACACGTATTGTCAATCGAGTCGAATTTTAGTACGATTTGAATCGGACCTTCACGCCGTACGGTGATAGGTTATGTCGTTACATAACGCGCGTACGCAATTAATGACAGAGCTACGTTTAAGCACAATTTGACTTACACGTTGGTGATTGCTGGTGCATTATTCGGTCCCAGCAATTTGCCAGTGCCGAAAAATCCTGCATTTTTACGCAAGATCAAACCTAACACTCTGGCCGCCATGATGCTCACATTGTTCACAATTTCACATCAGCATCAATGCGGCCAGTAGCAGCTCAGTCGATAAGGTTTGACTTTGACAGCCACTTTTGCCATGATTGAAATGAATGAATCTAATTATCTTGTATTATCTAATTTTCTTTGATTACAATCAACTTCCCAAGCAAAACAAGTCGCGTAATGTCAAAATAAATTATGACTGATCGAGAAAGTGGAATTTTAATAATCACTTTGAAGTCATGTTCACTATAATAATATATGATGATAATCAGATCAATTTTATTGCTGCACTAATTAATGTTTAAAATATTGTAAAATAAGTGTAAGTTTAAAATTTTACGAAAGCGAACAGTGCAATATAAAAATAAATCTTTTTTATTCTGTTTCAGTTTGTCAATGATATTTATATAAATACAATTTATTTAAAATGTTAGATACATAATATGATCTATTTAATTAATTGAATGACAAATCTTTAAGGTCATAGATCTTCAGCATTTTATCACATAATGTAATAAATATATAACGTGATATTATACATGATTAAATAGGATTTTTTAAGTGTGTTGTTAAACCAATTATTTTTTAAAAATAAATATTAGGCATCTGCACGATTTTTCAAAAGCAATTAACATACAAGAGAATATAAAATGTATATAAACAAACTACAATTCAGACGTACGATATTTGTAACTATATAATATATCTACTATATATAAATTTATATATTTCTATTCATAAAACATGTTGATGATTTATTTATATTTTATTTGCTATAGATAGAAGAGCGATAATCTTTCTCTCCATTTGCACTTCTCGTTTTAAGCATATTCAATTCCCCGAATCTGAATCATTTAAGTTGCGAGCGCGCGGATCTTGACCTTTGACTACTGCTTCTATTTGCGCCTAAACTTGAAATCCCGCATCGTGAATAGGTGCTTGTTCGCAAAACGAGAAATCGCGGAGACAGTCGTATCGTCGTTTCTCGTGGATATTTCAAACCCAGCTTGGAGGAGCGCCATGGAATTTCCGAGGATCCAGTGATGCACAGAACTGATCAGTTAACGCGCCGCACTTATATTTTAGAATTACTTATAGGATGCAATTTATATTCTCTTACCATCATGAAAACGAATAACGCCCGTTTCTATCCCAATGTAGATTATCATTTTAATTTAATCAGTTTTATTTACTTTTAATCTTTTTCTGTATAAATTTTTTATAATTTATTTTTTTTTTCTCTTAGAAAAAAAGAATAAGTTGAATTAAGATTAAAGTTTTAATTTTTTTTTTATATACATATATATATAGAACATTCTCGTTTCTCTAGAAAAAGAGTCTGATTGTATTAATTGGAATTCTGAACATAGAATTTTCTATTTGAATGTACATTATAATTCTAGATGAGAACCAGAATTCTAATTAATGTGATCAGAATCTTCTGGTTCGTTTACTTTTCCGAAATTTTTCTCAGTACACTGGTAAAAGACGTATAAAAGATAATTATTTATCAATTCTTCTGTTAACGCAGTGTGTTTATTATATAATACTTGTCATTAACTCTAATTTCTTGCAATATGCTCTTATTCTTCGAAACGATAAATTTTATTAATTATTAAAAATTTTCATTATGACTATCACAATTAAATTAATCTCTCTTAAACTTCATTACAGTAATTTCTACTCACAGAAAGTTTACATGAATAATATCAAGATATTGCGATTAATCGAAACGAAATGTCTTTGTGTCTTTGAGGAATCGTCAAGCAAGCAAAAACACACAAGACAGTAAGCAATTATGGAAATTGTCCCGACCTTCGAAACGATCGATATACTAATTTGTAAACAAAGCATTATATTGGCATTGATATTGAACTCAATTTTATCACTTTTGTAACATTTCTTTTCCGTCTTTCATCTCCTTTTTATTAAATTATTTTTATTTTTGGCTTTTTAATGGTCTTTATTTAATGTAATGATTTTTATCTTTTTATTTGTTTTGTTAAATGAATTTTGTCGCACAAATTTATCTTAAAAACCGAAGAAATGTTGCGAGATTTTCATAAGCTAGCTTCCGCGAATGATCCGCATTCATTTAAGTCTGTACTTGCGCAGATGTACAGAAGCCTCGAATTTCCTCACGGCAAAGTGACTGCCAAAAGTTTGACGTAAGTCACGGTATTGAGGCTGCTATTTCGAGGGTAGCGATGGTGTATGGATCATTGTTGCTCTCATCAACATGGGCCAACATTCTGCACGTCGCGGGGTCATATAATCGCAACTATTGCAAGTGGCCGCCCTGATCAGGTACAAGTGGGGATCAACCGTTTCAATTTGAATCTTCTTTATTTCTCTTTATTGTACATTGAGCGTATATATTATCGTATATGCAAAGGTACAAAAAGGTCAATCACTTCGCGACCATTGAAAGAAATCATCTCCAGTTATTCATCTGATAACAAACGCGAGGCGACGAGCATAATTTCGCTGTATATAACTTCGAAAGATAAATTTATATAATATTTCCAGTTTAAAACGATGCGAAAATGCTCGAGAGTGTCGCGAAAAGCACACACATTGAAAGAAAAGTCTGGTAATAGAGCTACCAAATGTATTTTGTTTAAAACATTAAACATAATAATAGTAACCAAATGGTTCGGGGATAATTAGGAGAGTAAAGTGTTTAGGTATATTTGATTTTGATTATATTAACTGAACATTAGATTGAAATTACTTCACTAAAACGTTCGTTACTATCGGCTAGGTCTGATTATTATTACTAAACTGTTTTTTTCAGTGTAGAAAGTTTGCGCGTTTGATCAACGGGAATAATGAGTTTTGCATCATTTCTATCACGAACGGTCTTCTCGAAATAGGAAGTAGAGAGAAAGACATACATACAAAACGTACATTTAGCGACTAGAAACGTAACGAGTACAGACAAAATATATATGTATGGCTGTCTAAGCTTATATCACTTTATACGCATCGTACAAAAGAAGAATACTAATTGCAAGTAGAAACGAGAGGTCACTGCCTCGACAACCTCGTTATTGTACTCATCGAACTGACGTAAGACTCATAATAGTGTACTTTGTACAAATACTTTATCTTCCGCGTCTCCAACAATCTTCAAAAAATAGACTTCGATGATGCTATCGATTCCGATACAGCTTCTAGCGAGACAATACTCGCCTTTTTGTCTCAAGTTTATAATTTTGACGAGATTTGAAGCTCTGAAAAAGAAAACAGCACTGGTCAGCATTAAATTGAACTTTTGTAATCATTTCTTCAAGTAGCTTTAAATAATATCTATCGATGTTATTATTTTTAGTACTAATAAATAATGCACAAATGGCTAGAATTATGAGTGATATGTTAATAAATTTGGTCAGATCAATAATTTCTTTTCTTATAAGTTACTAATTAATTCGAAAAATGTGTACCCGGTGCTGTTTTTCGGAGCTTAATACATGCAACGAGAACATACATTTCTCGTGATGTTAAAGGAACATATGAGTTCTTGGGACCTATCAAAGATCTTTTTATTATTAATTTTAGATAATGTTTAAAATTTTCAACTATATAATTGCAACACTTGAACTTAACATAAAAATATTAATATAATAATTAATCAATACGAATAGAAAAAAATTATAAAAAAATAAAATGTGAAACATAAAATTATTCCAAATCATTACACTGTTTAAAAGTTTGGAAAATGTCTCAACACCCATACGTTCCAGTTACGGGTTAAGCGGCCTCTATGACGCTCATTATTATTACACAATTATTTTGTACAATATTATTGTGCCTCCTTTAAACAATTCAAAACAAACAATCCGAAGACTCAATATTATAGTTTCCAAACGACCAATAAAATTTTACAAATTAATATTGATCGTCTAGAGACCGTTGAAAATAATTATTTCCGAGCACCTAAAGCCCGGGTATGGAATATAAGAGCTGAAGTTTCCGCAATTTACCGGAAATCCAAAGAAGTACTCCGACAAACATCATCATCTCTTCCGACAAACTGTCTCGAACATTAACTCTTAGCTAGTAGTAATCATAGAGAAGGTAACGATGCAACGACTGCGGTAGTTGCAGCTTCCTGACAATCTTCGGTAGCTTGGTACCGCAGAGTTTGCGGACTATTAATCTCGCTTGATGGGTCAACGGTAGTGGAGTTCTAGCCGCCTCCATCACCAGGGCCTTCTGTGCGTCTGTCAAACTACTAGACCGTCGTATCATGCAGGGATCAAAGCTCTCCGCCGCTTCCAACAATGCGTGTAGTAATCGCGGCTTATCGGCCGTATTCTGCAAGGAGTTGAGGATGCCGTGTGGGTCGCGGAACTGTGTCTTGATGACTACTCGAGCGCCGTACTTCAGCAGCAATGCCACTATCTCCACCGACGGGTTCTCGTTAGAGGCGACGTACTCGGCGAGCACTGGCCGTAACGCTGGTCCGTCGTCGCTGCGTATCACCAGGTTCGGATCGGCGCCGCGTTCCAGCAACATACACAGGATCTCCAGTCGATTCGGGATGTTGTCCGCGCATGCAACGTGTAGTGGCGAACCAATGATCGGCGACGTGGCGTTCACGTCTGCGCCTGGAAAACCGCGGATAAAAAAAACGCATTTTTTTTTTCCCTTTATCTTAAGTCGATTAAACAATATTAATTCAATTAAACAATATTGAACAAAATATTTCTTAAGCTCGTAAATGTGAATACACATAAAGAATAAAAGCCCTTAAAGATCAAACTGGATTTAATTATCACTAACTTTATAGAAATTTATTTCAAATAAAAAAAAAATGCACAGGACACGAATGTGATCTAAACTGTGTACTAATTACGAGGATTAATATCAACCAATTTATTTCTAAAAGATAATAATTAATTAATTAGTTTGAAATACTATAAAAATATTGAAACAATCTAACATTTAAAATAAGTAATCGATTACTGTCTTTTAGTAAACCTTTTTTGTTAAATTGATCAGTATGCAGATTTTTGTAAAAATATTAAAATATATTAGTACCTACGTAGGTATAATTTCAAATGTAATACTAGATCAAATTTGTGAAAATCAAAGCGATATAGTTGGTGGGCATTATTAAATTAACGTTGTCAAGAACAGTATTTGGCCGACACGATCGCAAATCTAGCTGTAATCACGAGGAAAAAAAAAGTCATACGACGCGGATAGATTTAATACCGGACGCGCGCGAATTGGCCTTCGAATGCCGCGCGCGATTTCGACCGTATGCCAGCGTTATCGGCCCGAGATACCGCGACTCACCCGCTTCGAGCAGCATCTCGACGATCGACGGGTCGCCCTTGAGTATGGCCAGATCCAGGGCCGTCGGTTTCTGATAGTCCGGCCCGAGGTCCAGCCGGGCGCCTTGCTTCAGCAACAGATTGATCACCGCTGGGTCGCCACCGAGAATCGCGTAATGCAGCACCGTTCGATAATCGTGCCTGGCATCCGCTGTCGCGTTCACGTCCGCGCCGTAACTCAGCAGCAGGAGCACCGAGGAAATGCCCTGCGACATTTGCGAATACAAACGTAATGTGTAATCACACTGTATGTCGAGTCATGAATTTTAAGAAATTCGAGAGACGCGTTATTTTTAAGTAAGATGTAACAGTATCCAATATGGCATAGCATCTAATATACTTGTTGTTTGTAGGTAGTTACGTTAAATTAAAGATAATTCAATCTTCATATATATTGCGCTCATTGTAAATATAAAAAGTAATTATAATTCAAAATTGGACCGCGATGAAAATAATAAATTTAAATAAGTTATTAAGAGAGAATCTTGGGTGTTAAGAAAATTATACCCTCCATTTCAAATTTTGATAAAAATGATTTTAAAAAATTGATATTGAACATGTGACACCACAGCGCGTGCTCGTATCGCAGTATTTCGTGACTGTGACAGATTTCCTAACCTGAATAGTCGTTAATTTTGAAATAAAATATTTTGATTCACGAAGCAGAGCGATACTTTTTTTTTGTAGATTTTTCATTTTTATAAGAGAAAACGCATCAATTCGGGGTATTGTTTATAAAAATTTGAAATGGGGGGAGGTCTTCTTAACATTTACCGAATCTTGTAAGAGAGAGAATCTCTCTTGAAGGCTGCTTACGCTGATACTGATGCAAATATCCTCGCCGAGCATTAAGTTCACAATCTCGAATTACTATATCACTTGGATGTTGACGATCTGGAAATCTCTCACGATACAACCGTGCAGCTTTCATATAATTACGTCGGCATTCTCCCAATATCAGAAACATATCGACAATTTCGTTAGGCGTGTAATGAGCCATCATAAATAGCACGATATTTTCGAAGCTAATGTAACTTATGTAACAGGCTAGCACAGATATCTTCTGTTTGTAAATATAAGCATAAACGATAACTATACAGGTAAAGTTAAATCTCTATCTTAATCTCTCTCCAACGCGTAGTCTGATCACGGCTTAAGAAAAGCTTACAAACAGTCGCAATACGTGACCTCGAATGATCTCGAAAGATCAACATATCATAGATCGTGAATTCATCACAAAATGGATTATGTAGCAGTCGCCGATGGGAATATTATTGAATTAAAGATCGTCAACCTCGAACAAATTTTCGTCCTTATAAAAATGGTCCCGGAAGTAATTGAAGAACACTGACATTATCAACGATTGATATAATTTGCGATTATTAATATTTGGATAATATATTATTAAATTCATGACTTTTTTATATATAAATCCTATTGAATCTAATTGCATCTGATTGAATCCAATTAAATTTGAATTGAAAAAATTGCACTTCCTATTCAGAATTTTGAATTGATCAGTATTTACGATGCACATAAAAAGCTGATATCAATTTCAAATAAAAAGGCACACGCACACAGAAATGTGCTTCATACAATTCCTATAAATAAATAAAAATGCATTCCGGATTAAATATATAGGATGCATTTTAACGTTTGCGAATACATATTTATGAAAATTTGAATCCATTTCAATTCATTCTTGATTACAAGGCACTTATTGTCTTATTCAAGAGCGCCTCTGAAGAAGGTACGAGAAAAAAGAAAATAGAACGCCTTTGGAGAGTGACCTTTTCCTTTCTCTTTAAAATGACTTTTAATAAGTGACTTTGAACTGATTTCGCGAGAAACATGACCTCGAGTTACAAGTCTTCTATCTCTCCGACTATTTACCTGCGGCAGTCTGGCAGCCTTCATGAGAGGCGTGAGCCCGGCACGATCCCGCGTGTTCGGATGAGCACCGAAGGCTAACAGCAGCTCCATACACTCCAGATCCAAGGGCGACACCAGGTTGATCTCGGAGCCGAAAAAATATCTCTTATTTGGATTAGCACCGGCTTCAAGCAGAATCTTCGCAACCTCAACGTGGCGATTCCGTAGAGCCAGACGCAGTGGCTCGTCACACAACATGGTTCTAAACGTAAAATTGCGAGAATATAGCATGCATATTTTGATAAATCAACGCATGTAGTTAATAAAGATTAATGTACCGCTCGGTACTCAAGAAAAATACTAAATTAAGAGAAAATCAAAATGACTTTATTTTGACGCCATGAAAGACAAAATAATGATTTTTACAAAATTTGATTATTCATTGACGTTAAGAATAAAAATAAAAAGTCAATTTTTTGTTGACTTTTATGTGTTTCTTGATGAGTTCCATCACAGTAAAATTTTCGTAAATATATAATGTAAAATAATATATAATATGATAAAAGTAGAAATTATCATTTTTTGAACGGCACTTTTAATTTTACATTATTATCCAACTATATTGATGTCATTTAAAACCTTGTATAAAATTATATAAAATCACATGCAAGTCTTATGATATACTTAAATAAAATTAAAATTGTAGATTACGCCATTATTCATCTTTCACAAGTATTTTAAAAGATTTTGGTCACCATCAATGATCAAGGTAGTGCGCAGTCAACGTAAAAGTCGCACCTGGGAAAAAGTTCCCCCGTATCCTGCCGGTGGTCCACCTTGGCTCCATACTTAAGCAGCAACTTCACCAGATCCAGGTAGCCGTGCTCGGCGGCGAGATGTAGGGCCGAGTAGCCGCACTCATCGGTTGCGTTGATGTCGGCTCCGCGCACCAGCAACAGCTGAGCGGCCTCGGTGTACCGCTGCCATACGGCATAGTGTAGAGGCCTGAGGCCCTGGGTCACCGGCTCGTTCGGTTTGGCACCGCACGCGAGGAGGATGCGGATCTCATCGAGAGGCTGCAGCCGTATTATCGAGTCGGCCAGCTCCCGTTGCAACGGGTTGGCGATGCACTCGGTCGGCATCTACATGGCGTAACACGAAGAGATACAGAGATAGAGAAACGAGCTAGACGAAAGAAAGACAGAGGGACAGAAGGATTGCGTAACGCGTGCATCATGTCGCACATTGGCAGAAATCACCGAGGATTTATAGCGAGACAGTTTATCGATACATAAACGTCATCGAGGTTGAGGAAATTTGATCATCGAATTTGTTATTTCGTAATTTAAAACTGAGAATCCCATGCGGAGAGAAAGAAATTCAAAAATCTTTCGCGATGCTGTAAAGACAGGATCCAAGTTAAACACGAGTCATTATAATATCAAAATAACGTCAAAATGGCTCCGAAATTATTATCAAAAATCATTTTTTTAGTCGGTAACGATGTTATTTTGAATGCATTATCGTGACTTATTCTGCCCAACGAACACACTTTGGAGAAAGTCAAAGTGACTTTATTTTAACGTCATGAAAGTCAAAATGATGATTTATTTTACGAAAGTTGTCTGTTTATTGATGTTAAGAATCAAAATAAAGTCATCTTGAATTGTTGTCGATTTCTGTGTGTTCTTTGGGTGCTTAGGGACGATACACGTGCACGACATGCACTATATAGTAACATGTTAACATTTAACGCACTTTGATACGCACTTTAATATCGAGTCTGATTTGCCTTACACGACGAGCACGGAAATCCGATAAATCTGCAATACAAGAAGATAGGAAGATTAATGATAGCCAACTTATTGTAATTCACAATGTTAGAAAAATATTTATTATATTTCTTGTTTTAATAACAAATTAATGAAAAAAAAATAATGAATTATATCAATTATTAATTATTAACAATAGAAGGAAATAAATTTTTGAAACAAAATTTTGTATATAAAAAGTATATTCTTTAGATTTTTTTCTATGATGTCCCTGGTTATACAATCTTTCCTACCGCAAATCGTAGAACTTATATAACAAAAATATAAAATCACGAGTATTTAGATTGGAAAGAAATATAGAAGTATTTGTGAATAAATTACTGGATTTTCACACAGAGAATATATATAAAATAAATCGTACAAAATAGACGTGTTATACAAATTCTATATTTCGATAGAAAAGCATTTCCGCGGGGATACAGTACAGAAAAGACCTCGATTCCAGATTCCGGACATCGCTGGTAACGCAATATTGTCGTGAAACGTAGCCGCGCGAAGATTTTCCTCCGACAGTCGATCCCGCAACGATCTTCGCGAGACGACACGATTTGGCTAACGATAAGTGAGTAATGCAATCGCTGTTCTCGCTGCGGGGAACTTCGCTGACGCGCGTCACGAGCACTAGAAACTCTGCCAAGAGGACGGCGCAATTTTGGCGATGATGCCGGAAGTCTCGTGGCGTCGTCGATTGAAAATCACGCAGTCTGCGCCTCCGCGAACATCTGGCGCGCAACGCGCTGCACTTCACAGCCACTTGTCCCTTTGTTATTGAGAGTAACGATGTCCCTAGCGATTTTTTCGAACTCGAGAAGAGCATTCTAAATGTGCACTTTCAGGATTTATCCTGCCAAGTCTTCAGAAAAGCCTAAATTCACTTTCCACCTTAAAGTGATTTTCTCGATTTTCTCAATGAAGTAGCTCAAATTTAGTTGGAAATTTTCTCTTTCTTTAGATTCTAACTGATCAAGAAAGTCGTCGTCAGGCTAGATTTTGATTAAGATTGTCTACATAATCGAGCTTTATATAGATCACTAAACCTTTAAATTTGTGATTTTATTTAACTGTTAAATATTTAAATTGAACTAATTATATTAAAAATTCTATGTAAAACTATAATTCCAATTGTTAATTTAAATAAGACACTTCTAAAAGAAATGTCTCGCAAAAATCGAAGTTACTATAATAACGAAATCTCCTGTAAATTCACGTAAGACATATGACAGATTCTAACATCAAGAAGGATGTCATCATCGGATTAGATCTTAATTAAGATCGTCTGCGCAACTGAGCTTCAGATCACTATTAGACTAAAAACTCTTCGATCAATTTATGATTTCATTGATTGATTAATTGTTAAATCGAGCTAGTTACACATCATAAAATTATATTTAAAATTAAAATCCCAATTATTAATCCAAAGAAGTTAATTCTAAAAAAAATAACACAAGAACTGAAGATAACAAAACCTATAAATTCACGTAAGGCATGATTTTTTATTCTTGGATCGTTAAAATTGGCAAAAGTAGTAATCATGTATCGCAACGATGTATTCTTAGTTTTCTCGTAAGATCAAGATCGATCCGACGAACGTGGTAACGACGCAAAAGAGTCGATATTCACTGCCAATTTTCGCCACGTACATCCGACTATCGTAAACATTTAGTCCGAATTGATGCAAGAACTTGATAATGCCGCGCAATTTGATGTTATACTTCAAGTGTAAGTAATATGCTTTGTATATTACGTTTTGACACCTGTCGCACACGATTGAGACTTTCGTTGCAAAACCGCAAATTGCGAAGCAAAAAGGTAAAGTATATTAAATATATCGACGCCCCTCATAGAGAGAGAGAAACAGAAAAAGAAAGAGAGAGAGAGAGAGCAATGCAACGTATTATTAAATAATTATTCGCTTGAGTCGAGTGATCTTATCGGGTTATTACAGCAATATTCATTTTAATAATTCTACAGCGTAACTCTTTACATAAAATAATTAAAATGTTACGTATATGATAAAACTTTTTAGTAGATAAGCTATTAATTAAAAGATTTTAATCGTCATCTCAATTATATTTCACTTTGTCCTTCTTATTTGATTTAATAGATGTTATATTATTTTATTCATGCATAGAGTGAGAAACTTGAAGAGAAAAGAAATTTAAATTAAACAGTAAAAAAACAAAGAGGATTAATTGTCAATGTAGATACTTTAAATTTTTTATAGAATAGATGCAGAAGATAGATACTCTTCCGAGGAGAGATATAATTGTTTGAAAAATTAATCGTAATATCCAGCTCACATTGAAATTTCTTAGAAATTTACTTTTCGATTTTGCGTCAATGGAACTTTTACCGTACCGAGGAAAAATCCTATCCCAAGAGAACATCTTTGTCACTCTGACGTCTCAACTTCCCAAAGAGCACACAAAAGTTAATAGAGAATCAAAATGACTTTATTTCAATTATTCTTAACAGTCTTTTTTACAGCATAAAAAAAAACAGCAACAGTCAAATTTTAAGGAAAAATCATCATTTTGACTCTCATGACGTCAAAATAATGCCGTTTTGACTTTCTCTTGACTTGATGTGTGCCTTGGATCTCAGACGATAGGTGTTGATCGCGACATTTGCAACATCCGGTATCGGCGATCGGATCGACGATCTCTCATCCGCCCCATTCACATCGTGAACTTGTAACGTCAAGTGCGTTTATTGTTTACTCACGTCAAAGACGGTGCGATGCTCCAGCATGTAGGAACGATGTCGCGAGAACTGCCTTCTTCGTCGGACGACCCGGTCCTATTTAAAGTCTCGCGAAGCGATACGACTCGCCGCCCGAAAATAACACAAAGGGGTACGCACTCAGAAGTCTTCGCGCATGTGTCTTTTGGCTGCTACGCAATTTTTGTCTTTTAGCGCGTAGACGCGTGTCCACCTTCGTAGCTACCCTTTTCTTCGCGCGCGCTTTTTCCTCCCGATCTTTCGAACCGCAAACGTCATCGTTCCTTCGTCATTAGGGAGAGACTCCAGAGATGCCTTTCACTCACGTGCGTTTGTTTTGAAAATATTTTACGATCTTGGCAATCTGTACAGTAAAAGTGTAAGTATTTGTCGAAAATGTAGTGCTAGCACGTGACATACTGAGCGTGTTACAAATTAAATAAACTTAAAATAATCGTAATAGAGATATAAGGAAGTGCGTCAGCAAACTTAAGCTTCAAAAATTGTTATCACGTACGTTTATTAAGTGAAAAAAGGAAATATTGTATTCCATTGAGCGAATTGTACGGTGCTTGTCAATGAAATTGAAATCGGTATTTCAAGAGCATCATGTATAATTGGCGCATCTGAGAAATTTATTTACAGAAACAATAGCAGTGGCAACGTAAATGTGTTATAAATGGCTGAAATGTTTACAAGAATATATATAGCAAAAATAGTTATATTGAAATTATTACTATTAAAATCAGATTATCGATAATTATTTAATTTCAGCATGTAATAATTTCCAATGGAAATAATAATTGCAGAGAATACTTTATTTTTCTTCGAATATTTGAAATATTTTAATTGAGTCGTACTTGGTGCTATGAATAATCCTAAACGACGCATTTTTGAGATCATTTAGAGAAAAAATATTGATAACATGGTAAAAATTTTTCTTAAAATTTTCATACGAATTGAAACACTTTTCAGATATATGAGAAAACCTGCATATCTTAATTTTTTTTTACATTTTTTATCCTATGTGAATTCTGAAATATTTTGTGAAATTCACATTTCTAAGATTTCCTCTATTTAATAATTTTTGAGAAAATACCTTACACTTTTTGAAATTTTATAAAATTTTATCGAAGAGAAATTATAAAAAATAAGAAATTTTAGAATATTTCAGAATTCACATGTATGAAAAATCCCAGAAAAAACGTTAATATTCTGAAAAGATATTTCTAATTTATCTATAAAAGATTAGAGAAATTTTCTAAAAAATCATAAAATTTAGAAATTTTTGACAATTCTAAAATTTACATAAGTTTTAAAAAGTTCTAAGAAAAATTCTAAGAAAAATTTTCATCTGAATAATGTAAGCTTAATTTTTCTTCATCCGGAATATCATCCGAGTCAGATTCGGTGCCCACGATGATCTTAATTGTCGCATTTTCGAGATAATAGATCATTTCGAAACAGTCGTCAATATACTGTAGTTGTGCGTCTCAGCGCAACATTAATCGTACCGTCCTTTAAATATTAGCAATACACACGTGGCAACGCACACGTGGCGACACAAAGAGATCTATCTCTCCCTCGTCTCATCGGGTAGATATGTAATAGTGAAGCAACAACTCTGTGCTGTTTTGTTGTCTACAACTACGTCTTTCGAAAAGTTCACTGATCCTCCGATCCGAAATTAAACCAAACCCCGTGATTTCTCTGAATTTCCCAGCCGCACGCAGCCAAGAACATTTGCGGGACGGTGACACCGGAGACAATGCGAGCATAGGGAGAGAGAGAAAGAGGTTTCCTCTTATGACAAACAGATAAGCGCTATTTTTCAGAATTATCATTTTGAAAAGACGTCGCATATATCATAAATTTTACGCGAATACAGCTTCGACTACAAGACAGCTCTTCTCCCCATAAGAATGTACGCGTAAATAAGAGAAAGAAATCATCTTGTATTATGGTCAATTTTTAAGCATAGCCTTTTTTTATCTTTTCATAAATAAAATTATACGATGACAAATCAAAGCTATAAATTATAGAAACTTAAAAAATATAGAAATAAGAAAATTTTCTGATTGAAAACGAACGATCCAGCAAGATTTTGATCATATCAATTAGAATTCCGGTCATCATAATTGAATATCTGATTATCTCAACGAAAATTATAATAGATTTAACCAAAAAAAACTCTGATTCATCCACTTTCAATCAGAAATTTTCCTTAGTATATAGAACTTCTGAATCATGTAGTATTATAGAGAACTAATTATCATACATTCGAATAGAAAGTGATGCAAAGGGCGATCTGATCACGCGAGGTAAACCGGTACGTAAATTGAGAGTCGATTGATATAAGCTAAAAATTTCCTTCTTATACAAGACACCTTGAGAAGTGTGAAAACAAGGTCGGCGACCGGAACGATACACGTAATAAATGAGGAGAAAACCGTAAAGACTCTATACACCTCTTCTCACAAGAAAAACCGTGGTCTCGTCGACCTTTCGGCTCCCCGTAGTAAAAGACAATGAACAAAGGTCGTCGACATTCGCCGAGCGATATACCTGAAATGCACAAATTCGAAGAGAGAGCACAGGCATATATTTTTTAGCAGTACTTTTTATTAGGAAATACTTTGCACTTATATTAAATATCTTATACTCATTAATTTTAATTATAATAATTATTGTTATAGCATTGTCCTAACTCCCTACTAAGAAGCATGCTTTTTCACTAACACATGTTACACAATCTTAAAATTATATGCCGAGTTTGTTTCTATTTCCTCTGTCGCCAACTTTACTCTTTACTTTACTTACAACCCTTAAAATACAGCTCTTACAATACGTAATTCAATACAATATTTGTCGAGAG